ATTTATGATGGATACTTATACATACTCAATAGAAAGACATTCTCGCGGGAAATATATTTTGATATATTCGCGGTAATTAACATTATTGCAAAAGGGGAATTCTTAACTCCGCGATATTAAACAACTATATCGTAAACTCTACGATATGTTGTATATTATTCAATAGCAAAATATAGTATGCAGCGTCGTAGTATCCAAATAAGAGTTAATTTTATGAAAGTTTTCCAACAGCCTTAGATGTCGTCAATTATCTCGACAGGATAAGACTTGAACGTACGAACAGGTATACTCAACATCATACCAATACCTATCATAGCAAAAAAAACAAAATACCACAACATCAGTGACATCGAAACTCAAACTAAAGGTTAATAAGGAATGGTGAACTATATATTACTTCATAGAAGAGGTCATCTATGATGTTCTAGATGGTTACACCATTGGTTGAGGAGGTGACTATAAGTCGAAAGGAAATACAAGTTTGAAGATAACACATTCGAAACGATTTTCGTATACGTCAAATCGTTTTATCTTTTTTCGATTTTGTTTTGAACCAGTGTCAATATTTAAGCAGGGGTTAGACCATCAATCATTCTTATTCTAATATATTATCAGATTTGGTTGATTAGAATATGCTTTAAGGGACATAGTATCCGGCAAAGAAACCATGCACAAAGATATAGGACACTAGATTAATAAAATTCACACGGAAATGGCTATAATTGGATATCCTCAGTCCTCACTACTGGCTACACCAACCAAGTCCAATCTAGTCGTGCACATGACAATACGATGGTGTCTAACCCAATCAATAAGCACGTGAATATCTGTCTTCTTTACGTATTAATCATCATGGAAAACACCTCGGTTATACGAACGAATTTAATATCCAGCGCTAACAGCTCCTTTGAGTATTCTCCTAACACATGATGACACTTAGCAAATAAAGCTGTTGCGGTAGACAAGTAAGAAGCAGACAAAAGTGATCATACCCTACTGTAAGCTTATAAAGATTAAAATCAAGAAAACGAAGACAAGGTCAACAACGAAAATACTGACAGGAGAAAAACGAAAGAAGAAAAGGTCATTGAAAAAAACAGAAGGAGAATAAGACAAGGTATTATTGAAGGTACACTTATCTAATTTATTAATGATAATGATCATATACGATCTTAAGTAATTCGTGTTTCTTTATCAACGAAATATGGACAAGTTATAGAGTATCTACATTAGTAACATATTCAAGCTATCACATGCTATGTTGATAGCAATCCTATATACCTTCCTTGATAAATACACAATTTATATACAAAGAACGTTTATTTATTAACTTTAATTGTCATCGATACAATATTTGTTTCCGTTTTTTTTTATTTGAGATTTTTCATCAAAAATATTTTTTGTAATAATTGATGTTTTCATTTTTAATTGATTAATATATATATATTTCCCTAGCAACGAGCCATCATTAATATAACTATGTAACTATGCTCTATGTAGTTATCCATCTACGTCTTAACAGCGCGGCAAGATCTCAGCAGTGAGAATGCTTGATGCAAGTCAACGAGAGTGAAAAATAATGATTGCTCCGTTACAAACAGAGAAGCAGATTGACGCCCGAGATTTTTCCTCCAACATCACCTCTCTCCATTCAATTCCGCGCAACCTTCTACCTCTCAGAGAATTTGGCAGCTGCAGTTGACAGAAGCTCACGAAACCCGAATCGATAATTCGTAACAAAATGATTTCTGTCGTTTAATTACATAAAACATATGTCGAATGACGTAATAATCAATATGGCGAACCCATGCCTGTTTTACGGTAGCATTTCCGGTGATCCCCGTAATGGATAAATGCCACAAATCTGATGAGCTGCTCGTCATCTTTAATCCCAAAAGATTGATTTCGATTTATTCTCAATGACATTGAATCTAAATTGGAGATTTCGTTTCCGTATTGCTGCTCGAATAAAATACTTTATCAACACATAAACTGTAATTACTGGCTAAATAGCTAGCGCATGGGCTTGAGACATTCACAATAAATACTACTTTTAGTTTGAACTTGTCATTCTACTCTAAGAAAACTGTCATGTATTTGTAATTCGACCAATGACTAACACATCTTTTGTCAATATCCAACCCATAAACAAGTTGTAGGATAGCGATAAAAAGTCTTTGCTCTCAAATGACAATAATCATATTTATGATTTGTGTATGATTGTTGGGAACCAATTGGTAACCGATATAATTTAAGACTTCGAAAAAACAAAGTTTTGAAGGCAGGTGGTTAAACAACGTAAATTTTCCAAACAAACAGAATGAGTGAAAAAATATAAATAAGCAGAGGAACGGGGAAATTAGTTTTCATTCGTTATATACCTCAATGATAATGACATTACTATTGAATCTTGAAGGAAGTTCTGCGATCCAAATGGGGTGTAACCATGACATGGTGTTGCGAATAGTACACACTTGTACCATACATCACTCACCAATGTTTTTTACAATATATCAGTTTTGTTATACATAGTGAGGATATTATAAGTGTGCAATCAGAGGAGTAAATCATTTCCCGCGCTGACAGAAATAGTGTTACAGTGCACCGTATCTGTCACGTGCACATGCATGTACTTCTTCAGAAAATGATATTGCCAACGGCAAAAAATACTAAAGAGCTCTATGTCTGGTCGTATGCGTGCCTATTTGGACGTGTCTTACTTACTTTGTTCATATCAGGGCTCTACCGTCTAATGTATCAATACTTTTATCATTGTTGTAAAAAACTCTTAAATAACTGTTAAGTGTTATTATACAGTGTGCTGATAGAGATCACACATGTACCATTGGAATGAACAATATGAAATATATAAATGTTAAAAAGGAAGGCATCGTATTTGACAATGACTATGGTATTTCGAGCAGATTGTAAAAATGCAATATTAATTACCAAACAACACAATACAGCTGGAGAGACAAGTTGAATTTGTTAATTCAACAACAGTCAGATTTTGGACTTTGTACTGCTGCATATCTTTCTTTCGTTAATATATACCATGAGGTCAACACACAAGTTGTTTTGAAGTAAAGCATTGTTAAAACTATCGTAATGTACCTGAATAGCAACAAATGTATGTCACAGCTTTAACATTTCAATAACTGTCAAACAAGTATTGTTGTAATTCTTACCCTTTGTCTTTCTTGCTTTTCTTTGTCATCGTTCCGGGTTCGAAACACCTATATACACAGTACTTAAATGACGTACAATGATCCTAAAGGAAACAAGTGTTAATGTCAAACTGATCTTACGTAAACTCCAAATGAATATACTTCTTTCATCAGGTTTTGTCACCAGAAGCCAAAATCAGAAACTACTATCCAACAAATATACTTCTCTCAGCATGACACGAACAGAAAGCCAGTAGATTTGGAACGAAACCGACAACAAATGACATGTGTTTTCGATAGTTGATTATAAGGCTACACGACCGGTTAATGTTATCATAACTTTGTACCATCGCCTTGTGTACAAGCCTAGGTGTCTCAGGGGGCACTCTCAGTCCCACCATCCATCTGTTGTAAGTATACAGACTCCACTTCATGATCAGGGTAACTATACACTTAACACACGTCTCCCACCGTGATACTTTAATGTCTGTATGCAGGTGGGAACCTAAGTCAACGAAACCTATTACATTGAAATTAATTGGATATGGCTCATTGAAGAAACTTGCGGCTTGTTTTTTATGAAACATCGATATAGAGATAAAAGAAAATAGCATTCGTAATGCGCGCAAAAGTTAAAAGGGAGAAGCACTTGCTATATCCTTAAAAACAGTATCGAACCAAACAAAATTATACGAGAAACAAGAAAAGAAGACCTAGATAGAAGCTGAACAAAGCAGGCTAGAATCGACCTTCTATAATATCCTTAATGTTAAATACCACGAAACAAAGCAAAATTTCTTGAAGTCATTTCCACACCTTGTAGAACACCATAGTCATAAAGAAAGGTTGTAAAAGTTTGATATAAAACTACATATTACATATGGAAAGGTGTCAACAACTCACAGAAAAAAACTCACAGAACATGATTTCAAGAGATGAAAGTTGACAGAGATTATTTGAAAAGTTTAGTGTCCTCATAAAGACCTTTTTTCTCGTGCAATTTAAATTGAGATGCGGTCTATACTCGTTAGCATGCCTGGTGACCCCGTTGTTGTGTACCTTGAATCTACCTAGAAGCAGAAGACGCTTATCCTTCCGACACGCATGGTTTATATTATCAATGCTTTTGTGTAAATCTATCTATTTTCATATCAACCCTCGTTTATTTCAATTTGAGTTTAGATTGAGTTCAGTTGACAAATCAGTATTATTTTTTTCTACATTCTAAATATCTTCTGCATCTTGAATTTTAAAGGATTGCACGCATTGCCGGACTTCCGTATATAATCATTGAAGCAAGTACATTTTCAGTATATCAACATAAATATATCATTATTATCAAAATTGTACTAAACATGTCGACCCTACTGAAACGTGAAAATATGTTCAATGTCAATTAGTCATGTCCTATCTATTTAAGAAAAATAAGTTTATATCATAGTTTACCCCCGAGACATTTAACGAACAATGAATAAAACCTTTAACACGATGTTATGTATCATTATAAACTACAAATAGCAAAATAAATACACCGCATCAGCATGTCCACATTGCTTCTTATATGCCATTTTGTAAGACGCAATAACTTGTTTTAGAAAGGTATTAACCAATGGACACCGTATACTTAGCACAGAAAGCCAATGTAGGTTTCGTGTCTCCCAAACTCTTGTCTTACGCCGTAATATGCCACATATAACGGATAACTTATACCCAACTAACCATGAGTTTCCAATAAACATATTTTGTCATGTGTACTGTCTAACATTGCATACCGCGAATAATCCATTATGCGACTGTGTCCTCCTCCCAGATTACGTATACGTGGTTTTGATGGTTCTCTCTCACACAGCTCAGTTAGCTATTCAATACGGCAGTGAAATGCACTAGTAAATTCTATGTAAACAATCAAAAGGACAGTGCTCATCCCAAAATAACGTATTCTCCAGGCGTAATGGAAACACAGCACGAAGATTCATCCTTCTGTCAGTAAGTGTGAAAGACTTTCATGAACAAGCATTCTGGCTGTAAGTATGTCCGTTCTATGTAAACATACCAGCGTCCTTTCTGGCCGAAAATGTGCGAATCATTTGTATAAGAAATCCTTAGAGCTGTGATGACTGTCATTTGTGAAATCTGAGTCCAGAACGACTATGGTTGACAATCGTTACCATTGAAATTGCTTACTCTTTCGGTTTTCATTTTTCCTGGTGTGGCTATTTTTCTTTTCTTCTTTATGTCATCGTAAATGATCCGCTGAGTCAAGAAAAGCTAAATTGCCCGCATTAGCAGTTGATGGCAGTCTTTTGTTGGTCATGAACAAATACGACTCATGACACTGCTTCGGTTTGATTCAAAAGTGTACATATTTGATATTACTCGTCATTACAACTCAGTATTATTGCTAGTCTAAGTAGGCAACGATGCATCTTTGATTGATGTACAAAATGTTCAAACAGTTTAAGATAGAACGCGTAGGATTTTCGATATCCAAGGGGTCGTTCCCGTTGTCGTGTTTATTGTTCAAGATGTCGGCACGCGACGGTCGATATCATGTTTTAGGGTTTCGGATGATGCAAGTTAAAAAGAAGTTTTACGGTCGCCATAGTGATCTCATAGGGAAATATTCTATTTCCTTGTGCGATATGAAGTCGAGCGTGCTTCACACTAGTTAGTTTACCTAGTAATTCCGAGATTTGTTGCCTTGTTCTTATTTAGGAACGTGACATTACTTACTCAGATGGACCAATATGCATCGTGAGTGTCGTCGTGAATGAATAACATGCTTACCCTCCCGGTTTTATTCTCCATGTACTTTTCTAGTGGTTTGCAACGAACAACTTTTATTAGCTAAAATTTTGCCATTATTTAATCGAATTTGAGTTTGAATTAATATGCTGTTGACATGTCAGTATTGTCTGTTTTTCATCAATGCACACTCTTTGTACCATACTGATACCATAACAGCATAAGCACTGTAGACGTTTGAGTCTCATAAATGATACATGGAAGTTAAAATCACTATTTATGTTATTTTTACGAGTATTGTGCCTCAATGCAATCTCAGTCGTCAGCCATTGCACCAATAAAGCGGAACGAAAATATACAACATCGACAAAAAAGGGCATTAAAATTTCTATCACAAAAGTACAACTTTCATGCGTAGTTATATTTATTTAAAACTGATAACGTTGTAAACGATGAAAAACGTATATCATGTTAATCACCAAAACACATATATAGAGATGAAAATGTAGATATTACAGACCATGGGGGCTTCTCGAACCATTCTTGTCCAATAAAGACACACTTTCAATGCATTGCTTTATTCAAAGCACCATATTCTCTCTATAGTCATGGTATCACAGAATCAGCTAACACGCAGGGTTTCCCCCCTTTGGCAGCAACATGCTAATGTATCCCCATTGAGTACGCCTCGCGTAACAGTGTTGGAATATATCTATTTATAGAACAACAATACCGCTGGGACGGTTTGCTATGATTATTCAATTATCATCCTACACAAGAGACAGCGAGTCGATAGTTAAGCTGCTTGTGTAACGTAAATATCATTCTCAATAATATACCTTCAATTATTTATATATTCTGTCATATAATTTGTGAACACGCAATGAAAATATATTCTTTTTTATTTTCCAGTGAGTCATGTGCTGAAGCCTTGATATTTTATTTCCCTTACGGCGTCCGTGACGACGGTGGGATAATTAAAGATAGAAATGCACATTTTTATCATTTCTGTTATAATATCCACGGGAATATTACAGCAAACAAATTTGCAACATACTTTTATTAAAACATACGTTTGAATCATTTCACACGTCGTATCACTTTGAGGTTTCTTTTTGAGTTGGCTGTTAAATGAATGAACCACTACTCTGCTACAATAAGCGTGTGTCTGCTTTAGCAAATATTTTCGGTCAACAACCGAATGTCAATCGGAAACCGTTCGGGAATTCCCGTCAAACTTCCAACCTGACGGAGTGACACAAATAGATACAGAGCAACAGAATGATGACAATGTCTGTTGGGAAATCAGTCTTTTATCTTGTTCGTGGTGCTGCGTGAATATGAAATTATTCACTATTGTAACTAGCTGAACCATTGACGCTGTTAGTTACCTGGCCCACTGAAATTTTGTGCAATTGCCATATCGAACCCATATGGCCCAAGAAATGTTGTTACCTTTATAAGCCTCTTAATCTTATACGCATGTTTCTCCAATAGATAAAAAAAGAATTTGTTTTGAAATTTTCAGTGATAGTTTGTTCATTTCAAAATTACTATGGATTTCTTTTTTTCTTCTTCTTTTTTTATTTGTATTTTATTTTCCACAATGCTTTCCCCAAGTCTGTCAGCAGTAATTTCTGTTTGCATGGTGCTATTGTCAACAACACCACTCAGTTAGATACTTAGTAATATCTAAGTAAGAAACGGACACAAAAGACAGCATTGTGTGGGTTGTTCAACTCTACGATTCTAAGATATGGACTAGACTGGCTGGGCTTCGCGTAAGTGTATGCTAATAAAATCGATATACGGAAATCGAGTTCCATTTGTCTTTTCCCTAAGCAAAGTTCTTTCGTGCTCGTGGTATCCTGACGAAGTGACAACATGAGCTATAGTCTTTTGGAAATAATATTTTATTTGAATACATAAAATACTACAAATACACATCAACACTAGAAGAAGCACTGTTGGCGTTTTAGAAGAAAACAATTTAACCTAGATTTACGAATGAGTTTTTCAGATAAAGACAATTATAGCCCTTCCTAGTACATCAGCATTTTCGAAAGAAAGCGGAAATATGTTAGTGCGGCACAACCGTATATAACCTGTAAGCTCATCCGAATGTTGTATTGTGACAGTTGCCACCATAGAGACTGAATAAATATTCAATCTGTTTTAGTTTTTTTATAAGATATAATTTATTTATTCTTCTATAATCTCAATAATATTATTCAATATTCAATGAAGATTTCTTTTCTTGTATAATTATTAAAGATATAAATCTGCTCCAGACATCACCATAAATAATGCGCTTTACCGTTGAAATACTAATATAAATTACCGTATAATTTGCCATTAGTAATATGCTAGAGTACAGAACTAAATATAAAAGGTAGAATATCAGTTGCAGTAGTTATGGAGACTACTTAGGTACCAATCTTCTCAAATATATTTTAGATGTTAGTGTAAACATACTGTAGTTGATGATAACCCCGCTGGTTCAACTAACTGTTTTACTATTTGTATAATAGTTTCCCGTAACATATACGGCCATGTGAATTCGATCATGCGTTTACTTATGTCACAAATATGGCTTGTAAAATGCATATAATGTCTAAGATTTGGGTAATAAAATCTTATATACTATGTTCGGGAAATCTGTGACGATCTTGGTAAGTAATGTCACTTTCTCAAATGAGAACCAGATAAACAACAACAGAACCAACAGGAACACTATGCACACATTCGCCACTGAAATAAATTCAAACATTATTACTGTTGGCAAAACGTCTATTTCAGTTTCTCTTGTAAAAGCAATATTTATTGCTTTTTGCATCCTCCAATTGTGATGCATATAATTTGTAATATACGTTATGAAACAAAAGCTCCATTTGATCATGTGATAATTATAGTGACATATTCAAAACTCTTTCTTAAGCTGCGTTTTCTATTTCAAAGAGCATATATATCGTTGGAGAGTGTAATAGTTTGATATAGCTTATGTTTTTGTTTTCAAATGTGCATATAGCCATTTATGACAAAAAGATCATTTGTATTATATGTAACAATACTGGCATTGTTAACACAATAAACTAACATAGACCTACCCAGCAATTTATGTTATAGCAATTAATAGATAAAATGTATCATAGTCCATTGGTCATGTAACAAGTTAAAACCGTTAAAGTCAAGGGAAGATGACACTATGCAGAACAAATTAAAAAAGGGCGTCCTCATATTTCACGAATGGTGCGCACACCATGTATGCATCATTGATATTAAACACATAATGAAATTATCTCAGATTAATTACATTAAGTGTTGAGAACCCACCAGACAATCAATTACAAACAAACGCATGAACGATTTCTACAATTTTATAACTAGTTTAGATTTAATATAGCATTTTCTAAACAAAGTCAACTCTATGAACTCAACGTTGTCATCAGTATGGTAAATAAACGTTTAAATGCAAGCACTTCATTACTTCGAATTGATCAGAGTTGCATTAATAGATAAAAAAACTGTGTACAAATATTGATTGGTTAACACCTTTAAACAGTAATTATATGACCCAATCATGTGTGCTTTGTGTGAAACTCGGATAAGGTTTAATCTCCATTGGTCATGTGGGCACAAACGATTAGGTCCCACTAGCAATCATCAGGTTCATGAATATTTCCTCACAGTGTCGAGATATTGATATAACTTCCATTTAGTTGTGACTTTGTCATCGGTGTTAAGTCAACAGAAAATCGATTTCAACATCGTGCAGGTGAATTCAGAGTGAATGATTACAATTCTATTACATCTTTAACTGATAAAATGAATTAGAAAATAAACTTTTATATTACATTTCATCCTAATATGACCTTCAAATTCTTACACGTCATTCAAACTGAAAAAAAAAGAAAATCTGTGCAATACAAATGGCAGATATGAGGAATAAATGACTTCATATTGGATTCGGAGTTTTAAAAGGAATAATATCCTTTGTGTTTCATTTTCTGAGTCTTATGTTTGCCTTACGAGCGTCAGATTATCATCGTCTTATTAAACCTAAAGATATAAATGAACAATTCCATTTTTGTTTGACCAAACGTAGTACAGCCTTTCATCACATCATACCATATTAAAATATAAGTACACTAGGCCTTTTGGTTATTGTGAAGAAGTTATTTAAAGGGAACAGTTGACGCTGACTCGAAAACTGCCATCACACTATGGTTAAGGCTTGTTTTCCTTTCGAGAAGGTAAGCTAAACACATTGTATATGATGTATAATTTTGCTAATTTTCCAATGAAATTTTTAACATATCAGATGTTAGAAATACCGCCCAACGAACAAAAAAATGTTTCCTATTCAACTTCATAACAACATGCCTGAATAAATGGTATGGAATAATCTCTTATTTGACACAAACCTGTATACCTATTACATTCTATGCATTTTTGCTTTCTTTCAACGTCACAGCTTGGTCCTTTTTTAACCAATATACAGCACATTAATAATTCAACCGACTTGCCAATAGCATAAATCAACTCCACTCACCTTAACTTCATTAATCAACCTCACCTGTATCATTAGATTAAGCTGATCGTAAATTCAAGCGAATTAAGGTTAGACCAAAATAGAGACAGAGATTACCTAATGACCTTAAAACATTGTCAAAAAATTTCGACTCATTAACTTCACATTCACAGTTTCAAACAAATGTATATGGTGTTTTCTGTGCTGAAGACTGAAAGCTTCTCTCTTAGCGTGATGTCAACCATCATCAAAATAAAATCGACTTAAGGCCACACTGGCATCGCCAATGTCGTTAAGCACGGACATGAAGAACGTACTAAAGCTGAAAATCACGCATTTCATTTGTAACAAATAGCTTTGAATGACACATGCAAATACAGAAGGCTATGAAGAGCTTGCTGCTAAAGTACGATATGCAAATTGCCTGCCATCAATAGGGTAGTCGGGCGTTAGTTTGTAATGAGTCTAAAACAGGCTCATCTAGGAAATACTTCACATGGGCCTATTACTCCTAAAGGCTCCAGAACTCTCCTTCACAGTTATAGTTACTGTAAAAGATTGATAGTAGACTAATTAAAACATTATCTGTGAGATAACCCCTTTTCACAAAAGGTGTATTCGAAAATACACCTTACGAAAGGACTTAACAGTATCAGTGAAATATGTACAGACAATCCCTTGCAACTTTGGACTTTTTGACGTAATAGGAAGTTAACGGCAAAGTAGATACATGACTTATTGTTTTGTATTGTAACGAATAGAATAAAGTGGAATATCATCATTTTGAAGTATTATCTAAATAAACCTATGTGAACGTTCGCAATAGTTTAAAAATAGCGAACATACTAACGTGTCGGCAGAATGAATCTTGATATAAACTTAAGTGTGGTGAAACCCGGAAATTATCAACACAAAATATTTTTGTGTTGAACACTGAAGATCAAAACCAAGTGTTACGGGTTAGTAAGTGTTTTCATTTCTTTGGCATTTAAGTACATATTATTTTCGCAATGCTGATTTCTGAAAATAACGACTCAGAAAGCATTAAGTATTTCAAGGAGGTAGTTATATTGTATAGCAAATACAATTTATACATCACCTTAACAAAGATATCAATCATAATTTCGGAACATTTTCTTCCGGTTTGTAATGTCAATAGAATAAAACACCACACGACCAGTTAAAGATTTAAAGTTTCGCTCAATATAATTCTACAGATTTAATATTCAGGAGAGTCACATAGAACTGTTTCGGAATGGACATGTTTGTTTGAATTAGAAAGTTTTAATACCGTTTTATATCTCATATATTCCATGTATAGTGAAAGTGTGTAATATGGAGTCCTGAAACAGTCATAAGTAAATTCCGAGGGAACGTTTAGACCCTAGTGTATTAATAAAGATAAGACAAATTCCTCGATTAAAAACGATTGAACGTGGGACACATAAAAGGATAGCGGCTTTTAGAGATACTTTCTTGTATATGGCTATAAAAGGTAGGATTCGAGACAAATTTGATGTTTAAAACAAATAATGTTTTATGGAACAAGTTCTGTTTGCAATATTATTTTATCTAAATTGTAAACCATGATTAAAGCACAGGAGGAGGGATGATGTTTTAATATGGGAGGAAACAAGAGTTGCCGATAGAACCTCTTTAAATATTATCAAGCAATCGAACACAAGTCGCATGGTTAAAGCGAGTGCATTATCTACTGCGCAATCTAAACACCCAATTTTATTGAGGATGTTTTCGATCCCATCAGATGCATTTGTTCTGCCAACCACATTCCCTGTGCAATAACATGGAATACTAGGCATGGCGGCAATGCAAAATAGTATTCATGTGTGGTCCAAGCAATTCAGTATGTTGTTTGGAAAAAGCTGTGTTCATGACCATACGGTCATTTCTCATTACTGCGGGTCATAATAATGGTCAGTTCGGATAATAAAATGTCTGACATGTTGTATGGAGACCGCCATTAATTCACAACGCTAGAGCGGCTATACGCGTCGATCTATATACGTTTCGACGATTCGTTATAGTATTTCGTATAGTTATTTGCTTTCTTTTTCAAGTATTCTTTCCTTAATGCTAATAATGTTCAGTGTACGTCATATAATAAAACAAAATAGAAAAAAAAAAATCCGGATTATAAATGAACGTCGTATCTCACAATAAGAATAAGGAGGCGATCGCGAGGAAAAAAGATAGAGAAAGACATAAACACTTAAACATGTTATTAACTTATATCTTCATTTATACTTAAATGCATTCTTCACTA